TAAATTTTCAGTCGTCATTACACTCTACTTGAAAGCAAAAGTATGTTAAATATATTAAATATACTTAAAAGTAATAATTTATTAATAATACTTAATAATTAATGTGCTTAAAAGTAATAATTTAAAAGTCTCAAATTATTAAAAGTATATTTATATTTGTATTTAGTTATATTATATGTATATTTATATTCATAATATTTATATTGAGTATATAATATATTTTTTTAATACATTCTAGTTGACGCTATTCGATTGATTTCATCTTACTTGATTAAGTGAACTGAGGAGTCATTTTGTAGAAATTTAAAATTAAATTTTCAGTCGTCATTACACTCTACTTGAAAGCAAAAGTATGTTAAATATATTAAATATACTTAAAAGTAATAATTTATTAAAAATACTTAATAATTAATGTGCTTAAAAGTAATAATTTAAAAGTCTCAAATTATTAAAAGTATATTTATATTTGTATTTAGTTATATTATATGTATATTTATATTCATAATATTTATATTGAGTATATAATATATTTTTTTAATACATTCTAGTTGACGCTATTCGATTGATTTCATCTTACTTGATTAAGTGAACTGAGGAGTCATTTTGTAGAAATTTAAAATTAAATTTTCAGTCGTCATTACACTCTACTTGAAAGCAAAAGTATGTTAAATATATTAAATATACTTAAAAGTAATAATTTATTAAAAATACTTAATAATTAATGTGCTTAAAAGTAATAATTTAAAAGTTTTAAATTATTAAAAGTATATTTCTACTTGTATTTAGTTATATTATATGTATATTTATAATTATAATATTTATATTGAGTATATAATATATTTGTATTATTATAGTATATGTATATTTATGTTTATATTTAAAAATAATATATTAAAAGTTATACCTCTGTTCTTCTATACAGTATACGAATGATCTAAGAACGAGCGAGATTAGCACCTACAATTTAACAAACTGGTAATTTTCCTCTTTCTCTCTAAAGAGTTCGACGCGTGGTACTTACAATAGTTCTTTCTTCTATTATTAATATTAACAAGTAAATTCTTAATTAGTATTATTCTTATTACACAAATCTCGAATCAAGTCGTTAATCTTCCGTTTCCTTTTCGTCGGATTTTTTTTTTCTTTTTTTTTTTTACCAAAGAACGAACGTTTCGCGAGAAGAAAAGTGGCGAGTGTTCTGCTGTTTCGCTGAGCGTCCGGGACAACGACGTGACAGGCTGGGGTGTTACCCTCCTTGGAGAAAATGAAAATGCGCCCTCCA